CTGCTCCTTCCACCAATTAATTTTGGGATGTAATTTCATTTGGGCTTCCTTGATTTAGTGCACTTCATCCGTGGGACCGCATCCGTCAACCCCCGTTTGTCATAGTATCAGAGTCAGTTCACCCAACCCAGTTGGGCTTTGGACTTCGTCGGACCACCCAGTTGGGCTTTGGACTTCGTCGGACCGTGCAATGACGTACCCGTCACCCAGCCCAGTTGGGCTTGGGCTTTCGAATGACTCACAAGTGAGAGGATGTTAGAATATACACTTGTGAGTTGTCCCACATCGTCTATGTAGGGAAAATATGTCCACCTTATAAGTCTAGTGGGCTACTCCTCCTTCCACTAATTAATTTTGGGATGGAACCTCACTTGAATTTCATTTGGGATTCCCTGCTTTGGTGCGCTTCGTCACCGCACCCATCAACCCCGTTTGTCACAATGTCCTTTTTTTTTTTTTTTTTTTTTTTTNTTTTTTTTTTTTTTTTTTTTTTTTTTAATTCTCAAGAGATTGTAATTTATTATATGTATATAGTGTGCATATTGATTGTGTAGATGCCAGGACAAAATGGAATGTTTGGCAACTGTAGTGTTATTGCACGAATCTAAGGACTAATACTCCCATATAGTATATATAACATCGGTACTATTTTAGAGGTTAATTAAATTGATTGCTTGCAAGTTGTGCCATGCTAGGTAGGAGCGTAATTAAATAGGACCAATTTCACAATATTGATGAAGCCTCGAAATAAACATACTGGAAGTTTTTCCGATGATAAAAGGGCGTGGAAGGACGAGCAAACGCTGATTGGTGATGTAGTAATCGTCCAAACACACGCCATTGTCTGAGAATTTATGCTCCTTTTGTTTTAGTTTGCATTATGGCAACAAGCGAATCGAGGGACTCATGAGCATTCAAGTGAGAATTGGACCAAAATTCGAGTCAAACTGAAGTGCTTCAAATTTGAACTCGAACTCGAGCTCGAGCATATGTAGCTTGTACATTCGAGTATTCGCCAAGACGCTTAAATATACTTAGAATTATCTAAATGCTCATAAACAGACATTTTTTTTTATTGAAATTCCAAGTGGAAATCGAACAAAATTTAAGCCTATTAGATTCGAGTCAATCTCTAACTTGTGTTTTTTGTTGAGCTGGAGCTCGAGCTCGACCAAATGTAAAAGAAAATCTACCCTTAACTCGATAAGGCCAATGTTTGGTTCATCTAGTTTGTTGCTCTTGTTTGCATTATCTGATTGCAGTGACATACTTATCATTTAATATTTTGGAATTGGGGTGGGCCTAGTACGTAATGATGCGCAAGATTGTGCTAGTAGTTTGGGCTGTAAAGGGAAGTCCAATAATGATTACTTGGTCTGGCTCCACAGGAAGAGTTCGAGTCGCAGCCCAGTCATTGTTCCAAAATCCTAAAACTAAGAGGGAGTAATACTAAATTAATAATGGTGATAATGTAGGGTGTGCGGCGTGTGCAAACTTAATTTCACATTAGAAAATTAAAAGTTTGAAGTCTAATATATAAGCTTGGTGCACTACTTATTCTATTGTCAATTGATTTTAGAATGGGCTTGTATGTTGGGCTTGATGGAAAATTGGGCTTGAGTTGTTGGTCATAAAAATTGGTATTGGAGTCACAGTTGGTAGCTCAGTTGCGATGTGGATGACGTGGCATGTTCTCCGTGGAGCCGATAGACGGCTGGTGGATCCGTGTGCCTTGTGTCAAAAGTCTTCTTGACAAAAGTGGTCAGACGACGTGTCCCGTGGATGATAACCACACACACCATTTTCTTTGTATCAATGTAAACTTGATTCCTTCCTCACTTCAGAAATAATAAAAAAAAAAAAAGTTCTACTTTATATGCACATGTAAGTGGGACTGAAGTAATCAGAATTAGTCAACGAAAACGTAATTGCAAAAATGATTGTCTGAAATTTAATTCACCAAACATTTTCAATCATTTCGTTTATTTAAATTTTTTTTTTTTTTTTACCTATATATGACTACGTGCGTGTAGGGCTGAGTATGAGACTCGAAGAATTCTGAACCGAACCGAAAAATCACTCTGAATCAAAAAATATTCGTTGACCATTTGACTTTCTCCGAACTGAACCGAACCAAAAAAATTCGTACCGAGAACCTAATCGAACCGTCCCGTATCGTACCGAACCAAAGAATCGAAATCAAGAACCGAATTATAAAAATAAATGCGTGTTATTAATATATTTTATGTCAACTTTGATCCTATATAATTTGAGAATTTTTAAAATATAAATAAAATATAGTAATAACAATTAAGACACTTACATTTCATGTTTAATAATACTTAATCTACAATTGAATTTCTCATGTTTAAAAAAAATAAATGGAATGAAAGGTAAAGATTATAAAAAAAAGATATTTAAGCTTTACTTAAAGTTGTCGATACTTACCCTTAGTTTTTCTTATAACTAACATGGTATAGAAGGTTAAATAAATATTATTTTAATATAAAATTGTATTATATTTTGTTTGAATTTAAGTTTTCAATGTTAGTTGAATTTAGTTTTAACTAAAATTTAGGATTACTTCTAAAGTTGATTTAAAAATAAAATCTTTAGTATGATGAAGTATTGATGAATGTTGGATTTAAAAAAAAATATTTCTTGGATTGCATCGACTGGTGAACTGGCTTAGAGGGGAAACGAAGAAGAAGTTCAATAATAATAAAATATAACTAGGTGGTCATTCAAAAAAATTTTAAAAATGATAAGAAATCTCCGAATATCCGAACCGAATCAAACCGAGCCGAACCGTTTCGATAGTCCCGAAAATTGAACCGAACCGAACTGAAAAATAAAAATCTCAGAACCGTACCGAACCGATATTTTGGTACGGTTCTGAAGATCGAATTTTAGTGATATCTGAACTTCGGTACGATTCTGAAGATTTATCAATCTCCGAACCGTACCGACCCATGCTCAATCCATACGTGCGTGCCCTGATACTTGCCATTTAATAACATTAATGATTGGTGGGGAAAAAAAATAATACGAAGTTGAAATTCCTTGCATTAAAAGTGACGATTATAAAAATTGTTACTAGCAAAAGAGATAATTATTGGCCTGTAAGCAAAAATGATTAAAATGGATCCCACAGCATGAATAAATATTGGGGGATGTTATATGTTTAATGATAAGCAGCAAATTAGTGCAGCATTAATCGTGCAACAAAAGGATATTGTAGAAAAAGAAACACAATCTCTTGTCACCAATAAACTTTGTCAATAGAAATCTTATTTACACATTTTTTAGAATAGGATAAATAATTACACAGCATTTTTGCCAAAATTATATATTTGTCACATTCAATTTTTGTGTTAACATCTTAAATCACATCAAAATTCAACCACGTACCATTACACAACAATTTCATCATGTCACATGATTTCTCAAAATCATTACTTTCTTGCATGAAATTAAATTTAACCCAACAGTATGTACTTGGCAAAACAGGAATCCCGAGAATGAAATCACAACCAATTTAAAGCTTAAGAAATTAAATTCAATATATCTAGCAAAAGTTTATAAATACAATAAATTGATTGAAAAAAGAAATAAGAAAAAAAAAAAAA